CTTCATCCTTTGCACTTATACTTAAAGACACTCTCACATTGAGATCAATAAATGCATCCTTAAGTTGTTCATATGGTTTCCTTTTTTAAAAAAAAACATGTATCTGAAATCTTTTTTATGTGTAAAAACATGAGCCGAGCAAGTTTTGAAAATCATGAAAATTCAAATTCATTCAATCTTTCCTGAGACTATTTCGGAAAAAATACCCTATCCGCGGTAATCTGATTCAAGACTTACTTTCTACTTCCAGATCCCTTCTCCTTAAATGCATGGGCTTTAACTACAAACTCAACTGCTCTGACGAAAACAGAAGCGAGCTTAAGGCTGTCCCTTATCTCCACAGACCCAACGGGCAAGGACAGAGGACCCTGGTCAGAGTAACGAAAGGGGCTCCAGCTTCTCACCACTCCGCAGTCCGACGCAGCCACCACTGCGAAGGGGGAGAGCACCTGTCTGGAACACCTGGATCCTTCCTCCTGCTCAGGGGAGGGACGGCATTCCCACCTGCAGCCTCAGCAGGTGCAAAGCAAGAGCAGTGATGACGTGTCCGTCCTTTTGCCCACATGCTCCAGGTAGCCAGGGCTCTATTTACGGGATCACGCTGTTCACGGGCCATCTGCCATGCAGGGGCCGGGCCCCACGGGCAAAAGTGCCCGCCGAGTGACAAGCAGCTACACTCTTAGATGTCCAGCACAGTATTTATGTCTAAACAAATTATTAAGTTGGATCACGCAGCTTTATATTTAAATCCAATCAGCTCCAACTTACCTGTCGCATTATAAAGCGGTTTCTGTTACGGGAGCCCCAAGAGGAAATCACAGAGAGAACTCTCCCAACACTTAAAAAATCTATCCATCTATTATGTTGAAAGTGCAACCCACACCCATAAAAAAACAATATTAAAAATGTAGACATTCTAAATACGGTTCAAGCATCTGGGAAACAAGCATGCATCCCCCAGAATGCCACATCGCCGGGGCAGTTCAGCACCCTGCGTTCAGGATGTACAGAGTTTAGAAAAACAGAGATATGACACAAAAGTGACAAAAGTTTTGGTAAGTCAACTCCAATACTGAAAAGGTCAGTAAGAATTCTATCCCATCTCAAAGGTATTTGTCTTGGGTCATCTCTAATGAACCTAGGCGAGCTAGCGTATTTCACAGGGGCTAAATAAAACTTTTTAAAAGGTTAACGGAAAAATATTTATGTGAAAAATGCCTCCAAATAATCTTTTAGTAGGTGGATTCGGCACATACCAGTGAATACCTTTGAGCCTGGTCCAATTTTGAATTAAGCTAGAGTTCACCTTCAAGAAACAATGAACCTGTTTTTAAGTAAAACTCTGTATTAATAAAAAAACATGGAATGTGAATACAACAAAAGATATTATCAACTGAACTGTATCTAAATATTTTACAAAGTTTTCCATGAGCTGTCAGTAGATCTTTAAAATGCATGATCTTTTTAAAAAGTTGTTAGTCATTTATCTGTAAAAATCTAGCTTCTTATGTATATGCCAAGCATAAAATTGCCCCATGCTAAATTTAATGCAAACCTTACATTACAGTTATGTGCTCCTGCCCTTCAACATGACGATGACAGTGATTCAAAGGGTAAAAATGCACTTAGAACAGTCTACCTTCTGCTGCAATTCTGTCCAACGAAGCCCGAGCAGCACGCAAAAATTAGGTCCATATTTTAAATCTGCAGGCAATCAAGCCAAGAACCAGGCTATGTAATCACAATCACTTGCAAAACCATTTAAACTATTTTTTAGTTGTAATTGTTAGCAGTTTCTTATGACTGTAATCTCTAAAAAAAATATCTTCCACAAAAAAATAATAATATCTTCCACTTCGAAAATTAAATGCACATGTACATCGACTTTCTTTGTCTCCTTACAGTTAGATGCTAGCTATGCCAGATTAAAACTGTCTTCTTTCCCTTATTTCTGCATTCCTTTCTTTTAATTTTTGTACACTACGGTTCCAAGTTAATTTCATATTTTTCCAAATAATGGTTGGCTAAAAATTTGATCTTATTAATTACAATTTTGCGAAGTAAGGTAGAGTTTAACAAAGAAAACCATGAAGAAGAGTCACTTTATGATGACATTGTTTTTTATAAAGTAACGTGCTACCTTTTCAGATGTCATTCAAGGAAGGTTAATTTTGCAAAGGTTACATAATTAAAGATTCTCGGCGTTATAAATTGGTATGCATAACTCTTAACAGAGCACGCTGAATAATGAGAAGGAAAATGAGTTGCTCAAGGTCAGACGTGTCAGCGAGGCAGCAGCCTTGGCAATCTCAAATTCCTATCTTCCCCCGCACGTGCCATCCCGAGAGATCCCTGCTCTAACCTTTGCCTGCAAAACACGAACAAAGGTATTCTTCACAGGACAGAACCCACTTACGGCAAAATTTCAAACTTAATGCACTGATTAAGTAGAAGAGAATTTAACCTAAACGTTACCATAATACATGAATTTAAATTAATTTTTAGGGAATGGATTCATCATTTGAGCGATCAACTCCTAAGAAGAGACCAACTTTTTCCGAATGTACCACAGAGCTGCTCTCTTCCTCTGCGATGGCCTGTGGCAGGGACCGCTTGGGGGGTCCCCCTGGGAAGCTCACCCCTCGCAATCGGGAAGGGGTGAGGGATCGTCCCCCTGCACATTCACAATGTGAACTACTTAGTCCACAGGAAGTTCTGACGTGTTTCTGGTCTGGTCGAGTTTTAAGCTTGCTTCGCTCAAACAGCTTTATCACTTCTGAGATTCTATCTAAAGCAAATCTCAAGCATCTGACACGTTTCCGATCACTGAAACTCACTGTCCTCTTTCTGATACCTCTTCCCCTACTTGCAAACAAGTTCCAAAATCCTTAGCAAGTTAAAAATCAACAAACACATAAAGCTAAGAGCCAACATATCACTATTTAATGATGGAATTTGCAGGTTATTTATAAAGTGATTTCACGTTAACACTGTCAAGTTCATAACTGACTTCTATATTCAAATAAACGTTTACATTCTTTGAAAAAATGACTAGTGCCAAAAGTAACTACTCGGGTATAAAGTATATATTTTTTGGTCACCACGTGCACGGAAAAACATTTGACAGATAAAAAGTATAAGAATGGAATTTGGGGCAAGCCTACTCAGAATTCTAGAACACTTAGTAAAGAAGGGGAGGAGAGAAGGCATGGAAGGAAGTCAACACTCATTATGTGTTTACTAGAAAACAAGTACTGTCCTAAGCGCTTTCCGTAAAACTGAAATCGACTTAATGCTCCTTTACCAAGTAATTACAAACCTACATATTCGAACATCAAAGGAATTAAACATAAACTCTCTGAGAATCTTGAACTGATTTCATTTTCCTTTGGGGTACAGGCTAAGCCCATCACATTTATCATCCTTATATATGCAGATCGAAGGCTCAGAAACCTATTAAATTATTTAAATTATTCCCAGAAAGTAATTCATGAATATCATTACCTCATTGAAATATTCAAGAGGTTAGTTCTGATGATCCAAAAATTCTGTTCTCATAAGTGTTCTTTGATAAGAGTTACTAATTTCAATATATATCAAGAGATGCGCTGCTAGTATCGAAGAATAAATTATGACAATTTACATTTTTAAGCTTATTCAGCTTCCAGGGATGATGATAAGGAGAAATAGGGTTAAAAATAGAATTGGGATAGATTTGACTCCACTGAGGAATTCACTTTAATAGGGTCGTCACTGGCTGGCTGTTTCTGTTTTATTGATTTACAGTAAAATGGTCACTTCAGTGAAAACAAGCTTTTCGGGAGAGGCGGGAAGGAAGTTAAAGAAAAATGCCTGTGTTTCCAATGCATAAGGACCTGATCCTGGACCTTTGAAACAAGAAACAAACTGAAGAGGATTTTTAAGCATCCGATAACACTATAATTAAAACGCACCTGTGAGCAATTTTATTCTTACATTTCTGATATTTCAATTAGTGATTTTGATATAATATTTAAAATTCTAATAACTGCAACGTTAAATTAGAACACGGTACAAACTTGCACATATGTTACAAGGTCTATATCCGCATCTACTTTCCCATGGAAGATTAAGGACACTGTAATGTGTGGTGCTGTTTGTGGCTGACTTAGAACATTGTCACCATGAAGTGAGTGTTTAGAGCGTCATTCTTTGCATTAAGTAAGACAGAGAAATGCTCTGAATTTTAAATAGTTTTCCCAATTACTCCTTAAGGAAAAAAAGCTGACAAATTCATTAAAATCCTGACGTATCTTCATAACAGCAACGAAGAGAAGTCATGAATATTTTTTGATGTGGGCGAAAGAAAAGTCTTCACAGGAAACCAAGAAAAGTATCAATAAAAGGGCATAAAATTATTGTACATTCCTGTTCATGAAAGAATTAGCCTCAGTCTTGAAAACCATAGAAAACACAGCTCTCAGATCATTATACTAGAAGAACGAGAAAGTTCTTGAATACTTATAATCTATATTTTGAACAAGAATCATACAGTGGATTTCACAATGCATTACTTAGGCTATATATGAATTAATCTATTTTAATTAATAAAACTGAGTGATTTTTAATGCAAACCAATTATAATTATGTAAATATTCGTGTTTACCTAAACAGAACCGTGAAAACGGTTGATTTTCGAGCATAATGAGCTTATAGATAATTGCTTTTCTTTTTTGATTCTTTTATACTGTAATAACGTTGCAATAAAAATAACCACTTAAAAAAAAAAAAATGAATGTCTTCACTCTGAATTAAATGTCACTC